ACAAAAAATTAGCTGGGCATGGTGGTGCATGCCTGTAATCCCAGCTTCTCTGGAGGCTGAGGCAGGAGAATTGCCTGAACCCAGGAGGTGGAGGTTGTGGTGAGCCGAGATCGCGCCATTGCACTCCAGCCTGGGTAACAAGAGCGAAACTCTGTCTCAAGAAAAAAAAAAAAAAAAGAATTTTCCTTCCCTCCATCCCTCCCTCCTTCCTTCCTTCCTTCCTTCTTTCCTCCCTCCCTCCCTCCCTCCTTCCTTCCTTCCTTCTTTCTTTCCTCCCTCCCTCCCTCCCTCTCGCCCTCTCTCTCTCTCTCTCTCTCTGCCTTTCTTTCTTTTTTTTTTTTTTCCAGAGTCTCACTCTGTCACCCAGGCTGGAATGCAGTGGTGTGATCGCGGCTTGTTGAAATCTCTGCCTCCCAGGTTCAAGCAATTCTCATGTCTCAGCCTCCTGAGTAGCTGGGGATTACAGGCACGTGCCACCAGGCCCAGCTAATTTTTGTATCTTTAGTAGAAACGGGGTTTCACCACGTTGGTCTCAAACTCCTGGCCTCAAGTGATCCATCTGCCTTCGCCTCCCAAAGGGCTGAGATGACAGGTGAGAGCCACCATGCCCAGCCTATTTTAGTATCTTTTCTAATAACTATTTTTTAGCTTTGCTAATTCTCCTTATTTTTAGCTCTTTTTCCCTTATAAGTGTCTGCTCTTGTCTTTAATCTGTCATTTACTTTATTTTGGGAGTTGATTCTACAGTTCCTACATACGTTCAACTTTTGTTCCTTATTCATGTATTTAACACGTAGTTAGTTACTCATTACATTCTATGTGTCAGGTTCCAGTTCCAGATGTCAAAGATACCTACCAGTTAGCAAAACAACAGAAACAAAAAAATTTCAGTGCTCATGGAGCTTAAATGTCAGCAGAGTTTTGTGTTGCATGGTGACCTGTGCTACAGGGAAAAATAAAGCAAGGTGGAGGAGAGGAGGTTGGCAGGGCCTCTCTGGGAATGACCTGACAGAGGTGAGGGAGAGATGGTGAGGCTATCTATCTCCTGGAACAGGGGAACAACATCAAGGTCGGTGAGGCTGGATAGCAGTAATGCAGGTAGTAAGGGAAGCTACTTGAGCATCATGGTTTCATAGGACCGCACAGGACTGGTATCTACTCCAAGTGAGACAGGAAACCAGTGAGGAGTTTGGGTGGAATGTGGAGGGTAAAGAGTCTAACACTTTTCAGGTGGGTGTTTAGCTCCATAACTTTTAGCCTTGACTTTGAAAATAAATGTTAAAATATATAAAATTCCCTCTAAGTACACTCTAGTTTTGTCTCATATATATTCGCATGTATAGTTTAGAAGAGGGCTTAAAAATATTTAAAACTGTTTTTCTAGTTATCTTTCTTCCTATTGATTTTTGACTTCATGATACCTTGGTCACAAAATGAGGATTGTATATTGCCAAATCCTCTGACATTGGAGGATAGCTTTGTGGTCCAGCCTCTGATCAATTTCCATGAATGTTCCATGTGTGCTTAAAAAGAATGTGCATTTTCTGTTTATCATGTTGGATGATCTTTTTTTTTTTTTTTTTTTACACAGGGTCTCACTCTATAACCGAGGCTGGAGTATGGGTGGCATGATCATGGCTCACAGCAGCCTCAATGTTTTGGGCTCAAGTGAGCCTCCTACCTCAGCCTTCTGAGTAGCTGGGACTACAGGTGTGGACTACCATGCCTGGCTAATTTTTTAAAAAATGTTTTTTTAGGCTGGGTGTGGTGGCCCATGCCCATAATCCCAGCATTTTGGGAAGCTGAGGTGGATAGATCACTTGAGGTCAGGAGTTTGAGACCGGCCTGGACAACATGGTGAAACCCCATCTCTACTAAAAACACAAAAATTAGCCAGATGTAGTGGCTGGTGCCTGTAATCCCAGCTACTTGGGTGGCTGAGGCAGGAGAATCGCTTGAACTCAGGAGGCAGAGGTTGCAGTGAGCTGAGATTGTGCCATAGTGCTCCAGTTTGGGCAACAAGAGTGAAACTCCATCTCAATAAAATAAATATGAATAATAAAAAATAAAAAAATTATTTTTTTATAGATACAGAGTTTCGCTATGTTGCCCAGGCTTGTCTTGAACTCCTGGGCTCAAGGCATTCACCCACCTCATCTTTCTAGAGTGTTGAGATTACAGGCATGAGTCACTGCTCCTGGTCTCCTGTTTGACGTTCTACATGCCCAAGAGATCAAGCTTGTTAATAATTCTTTTCAAATCTTCTATGATTTTTTCTTTTTTTTTTGTTTTGATCAGCTCAATTTATAAATTACTTCAAGAGTATTTTCTTTTTTTGTTCTACTGATAGTTTTATCAGTTTTTGTTTTTCAGGCAATGTTTTGTGTTACGAGGGTATGTTGTTAGAAGCATACAGGTATAGAATTGTTTTAACTTCTTGAGAAACTGAATCTTCTGTTATTAGGTAGTTGTATTAGTCTGTTTTCACGCTGCTATAAAGACATACCTGAGACTGAGTAATTGATAAAGAAAAGAGGGCTGGGTGTTGTGGCTCACACCTGTAATCCCAGCACTTTGGGAGGACGAGGTGGGAAGACTGCTTGAGGCCAGGCGTTTGAGACCAGCCTGGGCAACATGGCGAAACCCTGTCTCTACAAAAAATACAAAAATTAGCTGGGCGTGGTGGTGCACACCTGTAATCCCAGCTACTCCAGAGCCTGAGGCAGGAGAATTGCTTGAACCCGGGAGATGGAGGTTGCAGTGAGCCAAGATCATGCCATTGCACTCTAGCCTAGGTGACAGAATGAGACTCTGTCTCAAAAAAAAAAAAAAAAAAAAAAAAGAAAGAAAGAAAGAGGTTTAATTGGCTTACAGTTCTGCAGGCTGTACAGGGTTCTCCTATGAAGGCCTCAGGAAACTTACAGTCATGGCAGAAGGTGAAGAGAAGAAAGCATGCCTTTCATGGTGGGAGCAGGAGGAAGAGAGATGGGCGAGGTGCCACACCCTTTTAAACAGGCAGCTCTCGTGAGACCTCTATCATGAGAACAGCAAGGGGAAGTCCACCCCCATGATCCAATCACCTTCCACCAGGCCCCTCCTCCAACACTGGGGATCACAATTCGACACGTTTGGGTAGGAACACAAATCCAAACCACATCGGTAGTGATCCTCTCTAGCAATGTTTTTGGCTTAGAAGTGTATATTGTACTATGTTAGCATGGATATGTGCCAGCTTTCTTCTGGTATGTTGAATATTCTTTGTTTGAATCTCCAGGCTCCCTCTCTACTCCTTCCCTTTCTTCTGGTCAAGGGGCTGGCAGTTGTGGACAGCATCATCTTGGCTCCTTCATTCCTTGGCTTCTGGTTGGGGTTGGCCAATGAGGACCACCAGTGGGAGCACAGAACAGGGAGACAAGGGAAGCTGGGTACTTATTCCTCTGGGTCTCTTCCTGCGTTTCTGTGAATTAGCAGTGGCTCTGGTATAGCTTCAAGCAGCAATTGCCTGTTTTCAGTAATTGCTCCTTTCCCATGCTCTTTTAGGCCCAGAGACAGTGACCCAGAGGTAACAGGCTTCCTGTTCTTGCAGGTCTGTGGGTACTTCATCATTCCCTACAGGAACCTTCACCCCTACACACACTGGTCTTCAGTTACCCTTCTGTGTGTGCTGTCTGTTTTCTTCTGGGACCCTGATTTGTATTCCATTCTTTTACTTTCACCTTCTGTGTCCTTACGTTTTGGGTGTGTTTGTTTTTAATCACATATTGCTGAATGTTTGTAAAACCCAATTTGAGACTCTGTATTTTTCAGTTAAAGACTTTAGCTACATTTATTTATTGTGACTATATAACTATATATTTGTTGTGACTATATAACTATATATATTATTGTGACTATATAACTATATATAACTATATATAAACAAAAGTGGAACAAATGATATGTGTGTATATATAAATAAGATACATATTCCACTTTTCCTTGTTCCATGACACCTGCCCCTCTGTTTAGAAGTCCTATGTTTTATGCCTATTATTTTGATAATTACCATTTATATTTTGTTTCTTTTTCTTTCTTTCTTTTTTTTAAATTTTTAAAATTTTTTTATTGCATTTTAGGTTTGGGGGTACATGTGAAGAACATGCAAGATTGTTGCATAGGTACACACATGGCAGTGTGGTTTGCTGCCTTCCTTCCCCTCACCTGTATCTGTCATTTCTCCCCATGCTATCTCTTCCCACCTCCCCACCCCCCCATTTCTCCCCAACGGACCCCAGTGTGTAGTGCTCCCCTCCCTGTGTCCATGTGTTCTCATTGTTCAACACCTGACATGCAGTGTTTGATTTTCTGCTCTTGTGTCAGTTTGCTGAGAATGATGGTTTCCAGGTTCATCCATGTCCCTACAAAGGATGCGAATTCATCATTTTTGATGGCTGCGTAATATTCCATGGTGTATATGTACCACATTTTCCCTATCCAGTCTATCATTGTTGGGCATTTGGGTTGGTTCCAGGTCTTTGCTATTGTAAACAGTGCTGCAATGAACATTCGTGTGCATGTGTCCTTATAATAGAATGATTTATAATCCTTTGGATATATACCCAGTAATGGGATTGCTGAGTCAAATGGGATTTCTATTTTTAGGTCATTGAGGAATTGCCACACTGTCTTCCACAATGGTTGAATTAATTTACACTCCCACCAACAGTGTAAAAGTGTTCCTATTTCTCCACATCCTCTCCAGCATCTGTCGCCTCCAGATTTTTTAATGATTGCCATTCTAACTGGTGTGAGATGGTATCTCAATGTGGTTTTGATTTGCATTTCTCTAATGACCAGTGATGATGAGCATTTTTTCTTTCTTTTTTTTTTTCTTTTTTTTTTTCATTGCTAAATCCACTTTTATTATACTTGGCCTTTCTGCATCAGACACTTTAGACCTTAAAATCAATCCTTTGCCAGGCATGGTGGCTCATACCTATAATCCCTACATTTCTTTTAAGAAATATAGGTAGAGTGCATCTAGGTATCATGAGCCTCTATCACTCGTTTGAAATCATCTGCTTTTCTGACCCCAGAGCTTCTGCAACTACTTCCTGAATCCATTCAAAGAATTGCCATTGATGAAGTTCTATCCCTAACCCATGTCTCAGGGTATATTCCTCTTACAGGTAGCAATGGCCCCCCACCAAGGTAGGCCCAGTTCAACATGCATAAATTCCAGTAAGTTCTGGATCAGTCCCACTGGGGTGTATGAACCCAGCCCCAGTTCAGTGAAGCTCGTTTCTGCAGCAGCTTGGACTGTATCTGCAGTCTCTCCAGAAGCCACCTCAGGTACTGCTGTAGGTGAGGGAGTTGCAGGAACAACAGGAGGGGCCTGAACCTGGACTTCTGCAAACGAGATGGCAGATGTACTGAAGTTGCGGGGGCCGGGAGCCGCAAAGAGGTAGTGTGGGCGACGGCAGCACTGAGCGGCTGGGAATAGGAGCCGCGGGGTCAGCGGTTTCCTGAGCCATTGCAAGGGCCCTGCGACGCTGTGGACCTGACGCCCGGGCTGTAGCAGGCGCAGAATCTCCCGGCGTCCGTACATCAGTCTCATCGCCATTTTGACCGGAAGATGAGCATTTTTTCATATGTTTGTTGGCCTCCTGTATGTCTTCTTTTGTAAAGTGTCTGTTCATATCCTTCGCCCATTTTTGAATGGGCTTGTTTGTTTTTTTCTTGTAGATCTGCTTTAGTTCTTTGTAAATTCTGGATATCAGCCCCTTGTCAGTTGGGTAGACTGCAAAAATTTTTTCCCATTCTGTTGGTTGCTGATTCACTCTACTGACTATTTCTTTTGCCGTGCAGAAGCTGTGGAGTTTGTAGGTCCCATTTGTCTATTTTGGCTTTTGTTGCCATTGCTTTTGGCATTTTGGTCATGAAGTCCTTGCCTACGCCTATGTCCTGAATGGTTTTGCCTAGATTTTCTTCTAGGGTTTTTATGATGTTAGGTCTGATGTTTAAGTCTTTAATCCATCTGGAGTTAATTTTGGTGTAAGGTGTCAGGAAGGGGTCCTGTTTCTGCTTTCTGCACATGGGTAGCCAGTTTTGCCAACACCATTTATTAAACAGGGTATCCTTTCCCCATTGCTTGTTTTTGTCAGGTTTGTTGAAGATCAGATGGTTGTAAATATGCTGTATTTCCTCTGAGGCCTCTTTTTTTTTTTTTTTTTTTTTTTTTGGTTTTTAGGAGTGGAGAGTTTATTAGGCAAGAAAGAAGGAAGGAAGAAGAAAACAGTTCCCCATACAGAGTCAGAGGGAGGGGGGACTCAAACAAAGAGAAACCCTCTATTTCATTTTTTGAATCCTGCAGAGATGGAGCATATCATTTATATTTTAACAAGATATAAACTTTAGACTTTGTTAAACAGACTCTGTTAAGCTTGAGTCCTTTAGAATTTTCTTTTATTAAAGGTCTATTGATGGCAAACTCATTCATTTTTTGTTTGTTTAAAACTGACTTTAATTCTTTCTTGTTCCTTTTTTTTTCTTTTTTAGAGAGAGTCTGGCTCTCACCCAGCAGGCAGGAGTGCAGTGGTGCGATCTCACTGCAGCCTCTGCCTCCTCAGTTCAAGTGATTCTCATGCCTCAGCCTCACGAGTAGCTGGGACTACAGGCAGGTGCCATCACACCAGAGTAATTTTTGCATTTTTAGTAGAAACGGGGTTTTGCCATGTGGCCAGGCTGGTCTCCAGCTCCTGGACTTATGTGATCCCCCGTCTTAGCCTCCCAGAGTGCTGGGATTACAGGTGTGAGTCAGCCCCTTGCACCCAGCCTCTTCCTGTTCTTGAAAAGAGTTTCTTTAAGCAAGAAAATCTAAGACGACAGTTATTTTCTTTCCATATACAATAAGGATATTGTTTCACTGTGTTTTGGCTTTCATTTTTGCTTTTGTCAATTCAACTATAATCGTCTTTGTAGGAAATCTTTGTATTTTGCCTTCTGAAGCTTCATTGATTTGTTTCGGTGAGAATTTCTAAATACATCACCACGTTGATGTAAGGATTTTTACTTTTTCACAGTTCTAGAAAAGTCTCAACCATGGTTTCCTTGAGTAGCACCTCCTCCTCGTTGTATTATTTCTTCCTGGAGCTCTAACTGGACACATGGTGGACCCTTTAGACTATCCTCCAAGCTTTCAAACCACTATTTTATGTTTCTGTCTCTTGATGTCTCTGAGATGCATTCTGGTTCATATTTTCAAAGTTGTCTTATTTCCTTAACCACATAAAATATTGTTACTTTTAAAAAGTATCATGTAGTTCCAATATTGGCAGTCTTTATGGGGATGATTGTATGTTCTATTGTTTTTCCTGGCTTTCATTCACAATACGGTGTTTCTCTGTGTTTTACATTTTATACTGTGAGCTGTTCATTTTCCTTGGAATTTTATGAGAATTTTTTGAAGCTTGGGATGATGATGTTACTCCGGTGAGGATTTGTGTTTGTTTCTTCCATTTGCCTTGGCATACTGCTAACCCAGGAGTAACTTTAAATTAACTTCTATACTTGAGTGATATGTGTGTGTGTGTGTGTGTGTGTGTGTGGTATGTTTACCACATTGTTAGTATGAATTTGGACCACAAGCCTATGTGAGAACTAGTCTGTGATAGTGAATTATAAAAACTAAAAAAAAAAAAAAAATCCCTTCAGGCAGTGCCAAGGATGAAACAGGCCAGTTTACTTTATTACCTTTGTTTGTTTCTCATTCACCCTTACAGAGAAGGGTATAATTAGATTCCTCAACATTGGTGGTCCTAGAGTTTTCTTCTCTCACCTACATCCTTGTAACCTTGAGTACCAAGCTTTCTTTCCATTTAGGAAACTGCCTCATTTCAAATATTTATTACCCTTTTTTTTTTTTTTTTTTTGAGATAGAGTCTCGCACTGTTGCCAGGCTGGAGTACAGTGGCGTGATCTGGGCTCACTGCAACCTCTGCCTCCTGGGTTCAAGCTATTCTCTTGCCTCAGCCTCCTTAGTGGCTGGGACTACAGGCATGCACCATTATACCCAGCTAATTTTTGTATTTTTAGTAGAGACGGAATTTCACCATGTTGGCCAGGATGGTCTCGATCTCTTGACCTCGTGATCCGTCTGCCTTGGCCTCCCAAAGTGCTAGAATTTATAGGCATGAGCCACTGTACCCAGCCATTACCCTTTTATAATACTATTATAATAGTAACTTTGTTTCTTGGTCTCTGATCCATTCCCCCTCACCCCCGTTTTTTCATTATCATCTTAGTGATCTTTCTAAGAAATAAAATGATAATACGATTATCAAACAGACAGAAGGATGACATTGGGCATGCCAGGAACTTCACAAACCAAAGATTGCAGCTGAAGTCACTTCATTCACTTCAAAATCTTCAGCCACTTCCTCTACCCCGTGTTCTATACTTAAGCTGTCCTAGATTATTCATTATTTTTGGAACACTTTATGCATGTTTGCATCTTTTTGCCTTTGCACATGTTGTGATCCCATCTAGGACATCACTGAACTTCATGACTGGAACTAGGATGAGGCAGGTAAGGTGTCTGGGGTGCAGAATTTAAGGAGGCACTCATGCTGAGGTTAATGCAAATTAGGTATTGCTTCTGCCTAAGAACTCCTTAATGCAACGGTCAAAGCCAAGCTTATATGTTACCTGTTTATCTTCTTAAAACAGGGAAGTAAACTGTGTTAAATACCATATTCCAGGAAGACAGGAACTATGCTTGTTTACTGCTATATCTTGATTGTCTAGAACAGTATATATAGATACTTAATAAACATTTGGTGAATCAATGAATGACTGACAGTAGATTCTGAGTTTCTTGATGGCAGAGAAAGTTGCATTCTGTTCCCTGCCTTCTTATATTTCACCTACATTAGACCACTAACAGATGTTTGTTGTTTGAATAAATGGAAGGAGGGCCTGCATAGTCCTATTCAGGCACTGGGAAGTGTCTGGGTGAATGGTGGACCTTCCCCTCGTCCTCACACATTACTTGCTGACAGCCCCTTCCTCATGAGGTTTTCTGGCAGGGCATAGGTGCAGCTGGGCTGAGACTACCAAAGCTGGCAGGCCATCAAGTCACCTGGGAATGTCTAATATACATGAATTCTTGAGCCCCTCTCTCAGAGAGTCTAATTCCATTTTCCTGAGAAAAAATCCAGGAATCCGCATTTTTATAAATTCTCTGAGTGGTTCCAGTAATCAGTAAAGTTTAGGGACCAAGATGCTAGGGCACTAACAATCTAATTTTATTTTTCTAGATATTCATATAACTATTTTAAAGTGTTTGCTAAAACGATCCCAGGATCCTCAATGTTTTAAAAATACGTACACATCTGCAAATGTTTCTTAAATATGTCACAAGACATCCGGAAAGTATAGATTAGGAGGAGAAGACACAACCACAAATATAATATTTGTGAGGCTGAGATCTAATCTCTGTTTCTTTTCTGTCTTCTATAAGTTTCAAGTTCCATCCCAGAGGATGCTGTCCTAAATAGATGGACTGGGGAGCATTGACCAGTCAAGAAGGCAGACAAGAGGAGAAAAACAGAACTTAAAATAATTCTAGTCTCTACAGAAAATAACTTCCTCATTGGAGAATGAATTCTATAAATAATTGAGATAGCTGATGGAACAAATAGCTGAAAGAAAAACATACGCACTTAGCGTGAGCCTCAAGCTGTTCCTGAGTCCTTCAGTGACGTTTAGATCTGAGAAGCACATCTTAAGCATTTGGAAATAATGGATGTCATGGAGGCGTTCTGTTCACAGACATTAAAAATAATCCACTCCCTTAGAAATAAACAGCTAACCTAAGCCATGAGGAATTCTCAGTGAGAGACAGAAATAACTTCTGTAGTCCCCATTGCTCTTTAATTTCTATTTCTACCATTTCATTATTCATCATTTCTATGCAGTTCACTTTGTCTGTTTATTTAAAATGTGATTCCAGACGACAGGCAACAGTCCCAGTGTTCTCAGTCTTGCAAAGCCCTTTCCGCCTTGAGAAACAGAAATTATATAACTTGTTTTCAATTGTGCAGACTGGGGAGGATTCACATGTTCAGTTTGGTGCGCTTCCAGGAAATAATTTTAAAGTGTTTATCTGAAGTTTATCCAGACTTTCTTGATCTAGAAGTTAGACAGGAAACCTAGCAGAGAATGGAAGGAAACTAGGCTCTGAAGAGAGGTCACTATACGTGTAGACGGATTCAGCCAGGCCAGTTCTTGGCTGGCATGCCCCCCAATATTCACACGCTGGAAAGTGAAAGGCCTGATTCTATGACTTATGTGATTTAGAAACTATGTTCGTATTAGCGTATGCTACCATTTACTGTTGTTCATTGCTCTGGTTACTACGGCTGTGTAACAAACTACCCAACATGTCACAGTATCAACTATTGTATTTGGCTCATGATTTTGTGGGCCAGGCCTCCAGAAGGGGCTTTGCAGAGTGGTTCTTGCTGGGGTTGCAGCCAGATGTTCAGCATCTGAAGGCTTTCCTGGGCTGGATGTGAAGCTGGCTTACTCATGTGGCTGCCTGTTTCCATTACCTGTCTGATGGGAGCTCCAG